AAATATGAATATTTAAGATCTACTTTTATCTTCATGACTCATAAGCCTATGTATTTATGTGTCATGTATATTATGTTTCACTACCAAAAACATAAAAAAGAGCTCTAATTAATTGGATTTACAAAGGCACTTAAATCAAATACTTTATCAGAAAAATAGAAAATAGAAAAGCCCAAATGTTTTTTCAAGTTCATGTGACTTAAGAAAATCCTTAATAAATAAGTGTGTTTTAAAATTGTTGGTAAAATAAAATTAGGAATGTCTTTAGAATTGTCAACACACATTATTGTTTAGATTTCTTGATCAAGCAGTTTAATATTGATCTCTGCTAAATATTACAAGTGTCCAAATTTGGCATGAGGGTTACAAAGTTTGCAGCCCAAAACATGACTATCATTGTGTAACTTTGGTATAAATGATTCATTAAAGTTGTAGGTTTAATTTAAAAAGCTAACTTTTGAGTTACTGGCAAAACAACAACAACAAAAAAGTTACTTAAGATTTCTACTTAGGTAAACATCTGAAATCACAGGCCATATAAACGATTTACAGAGAAATAACTTAAGTGATGACTATCACAGTTTTATTGAGTAAGTTAGGTAAACTACATTTGTAAATCCTTGGCTAGGCTTCAGGCCTTTACAAAGGTCTAATCTTAGATGCCTTGTGCAAAAGATTCCAGCAAAGCCAATTCACAAAAAGAGAGAGGACACCTATATGGCAAATGATTATTCTTAATGCACTTTATGCAAATAATCAAACCAATTGTAATAGTACTCAAATGTATTTTACCAATAAATTGGTCCTACTATAATTTTGTTTTCAATAAAACTGGGGAATTGAAGAAAAAAAAATATCCTTCTATAAACTATAGTACTCCTGTTATTTGATTCTAGTCTTGCCTAAGGTTTATCAGTTTTTATTATTTTCTACACTTTGGACTAAATTCTAAAATTTTTCCTGGCTGCAAGTCTCCAAAATGTTTTCCATTTTCTTCTTTCTTTTCTCCTTTCCTTTCTTTTTTCCCCCCTACCTCATTTTCCAATTGGAAATTACTAAATAGTAAGCTGTGATTTTCTTAAAGCCCTATGGACACAAACTAGGCAACTTAAACTTCAGAAGAAAATAACAGCAACCTATTTACACACACAAACCATTTTCATACCTGTCTACTGACAACAGACTTCAGAGTAATGTAGCCTTTATTAGTTTTCCAGGATTGTTCTTTTTACTATCTATTTGTTGTTTTCTTTCTCTCTTTCTCTCTTCCTCCTCCTCCCATTTTTTTATTCGCAGGACATGTGATTTCACAACCTGCCAAAAATGAGCTTTCCTAATAATGTGGAGTCTATTGGTCTAGGAATAAATCATCATAGTCATGAGAGATCAGACAAAATTTAAGACCAGGGAGTAACTTTCTTCTAAAATGCTTTTTAAAAAAGACTTTAAAAGGAAGAGACAGGGGAGCTGTGAAAGGAAAATAAAAACCTGAGACCCCAATTCACTATGCCAAATGAAGCAAAATTAAGCTAAAAGCTGAGTTTTGCAAAATGCTGCCTTTCCTTTTGTTCCTAAGCACACAGCTGCAGATAAAAGGTTAAATATTTCCACAGGTAGCTAGTCTACATTCACCTTATCTTGTGTAAAGTGCCGATTTACTGACTGCAAGACAAATAAATAATTGACCATTTCCTTACCTGCTAGTTTTTCTCTTGCAACATGTGGATTCAGTAATGTGACCATATATTCCCACTGTCTTCTCCAGCCTGCTTTTCTCTGTTAAGTATTTAAGCCCTTAAAATCACCTTTGGAGAAAGGCCCAGGCCTGTCTCCTGGGTACCTCCTTAACCTGGGTAAGATAAACTTCTAAACTAATTGAGACCTATCTCAGGTACATTTTGGTTTACAATCCAATCTCTGTGGCCCTATTCAACTGGATAGGACTACAAATGTGAGTAAATTAAATATATATGTATTGCTAAAAGATGACTGGGATCAATTTCTTTATTTCCTCAAAGACTTGCCTGTGGGGATTAAAAGGCTTTGACATGGGTTCCAGGGTTGTCCATTCACAACAGAGGTGACTACAGTTAAATATCTCAACTCTACTGAGTCTTGGTTTCTTCATTTAGCACTGTGCTTAGCAATACTTTTCCCCTGTTTATGAAAATGCCAATATCATTTAATGCCTCATAATTTTGTGACAAAAACAAAAGTCAGAATTATTACTTTTACCAATTTTCAAAGGAAAAAATAAATAGTCTTTGTAAATCATCAATTAGATCTTTGGACTAGATCCTTTGACTATTACAGATCTCTTTTCCATCAGTCTCTATTACATAATTTATCAGAAGTTGTTTAACAATGCTGCTCTTTAACAAAAGAATATTTAATTAGATTAAGATTGTAAAGTGATTCACAGAACATTAATCTTCTAGATTTATAAGTTGATTCTAAGAAGATTTTTAGATGTTATTTATTACACTTTTTTAATTTTAATAACCCTTATAAGTATCTCTTGATCTATCAAGAACCAAAGGGAAGATATAAAAATATTTCTAAATGTTACATTAATAAACTCTTGCCTTCCCTCTAAGATCAAGAAGACAACAATAATGCTCACTGTCACCACTGTTATTTAACATAGTAGTAGAAATCCTAGGTAGAGTGATTAGACAAGAGAAATAAGAAAAGGGCATCCCAACTGGAAATGAAGAATTCAAATTATCTTGTTTGCAGATGATATGATCTTATATTTGGAAAATTCTAAAGATTCCACAAAACTATTAGAACTGATAAACAAATTCAATAAAGTTGCAGGATACAAATTCAACATACAACTCAGTAGCATTTCTATATGTCAATAATAAGCAATGTGACAAAGAAATCAAAAAAGTAATCCCATTTACAATAGCCACACATACAATTAAATACCTAGAAATTAATTTAACCAAATAAGTGAAAGATCTCTATAATAAAAACTATAAAACCCTCATGAAAGAAATTGATGAAGACATCACAAAATGGACAAATATTTCATGTTTATGGTTTGGAAGAATCAACATTTTTCAAATGTCCATATTACCCAAAGCCATCTATAAATCTAATGTAATCCCATCAAAATATCAATGACTTTCTTCACAGAAATAGAAAAATCAATCTAAAATGTATATGGAACCATAAAAGACACAGAATAGCCAAGGGTGTCCTAAGCAAAAAGAAAAAAATGGAGGAATCACATTATCTGACTTTGAATTATACTACAGAGTTATAGTAAACAAAACAACGTGGTACTGACATAAAAACAGACACATAGACCAACAGATTAGAATAGACAACCAGAAACAAATCCATACAACTACAATGAATTCATTTCTGACCAAAGTGCCAAGAACATTCACTGGGGAAAAGACAGTCTCTTCAATGAATGGTGCTAGGATGAAACTAGATACCTATTTCTAGCCATATTAAAAAACAAATCAAAATGAATTAAAGACTTAAGACTTTAAACCATAAAACTACCTCAAGAAAATATTGGGAAAATTCTCCAGAAAATTGGTCTGGGCAAAAATTTCTTGAGCAATTTTCTTATCCCAGAAACACAGGCACCCAAAGAAAAATGGACAAATGGATCACATCTAGTTAAAAAGTTTCTGCACAGAAAAGGGTACAATCAAAAAAGTGAAGAGATACCCCACTGAGTAGGAGAAAATATTTGTAAACTACCCATCTGTCAAAGAATTAATAACCAGAAAATCTAAGAAGCTCAAACAACTTTATAGGAGAAAATCTAATAATCCCATCAAAAGGTGGGCAACATATTTGAATATACATGTCTCAAAAGAAGACATACAAATAGCACACAGACATAGGAAGAGGTGCTCAACATCATCAATCATCAGAGAAATTCAAGGCAATACTACAATGAGATACTATCTCACCCCAACTAAATGGCTTATATCCAAAAGACAGATAATAACAAATGCTGGTGAGAATGTGGAGTAAAGGGAATTCCTTGTACACCATTGGTGGGAATATAAATTAGTACAACTATTGTGAAGAACAGTTTGGAGGTTCCTCAAGAAACTAAAAATTGAGCTACCATGTGATCCAGCAATCCCACTGCGGGGCATATACCCAAAAGAAAGGGAATCAGTATATCTAAAAGTTATCTGTACTCCCATGTTTGTTGCAGCACTGTTTATAATAGTTAAGATTTGGAAGCAACCTAAGCGTCTGTCAACAGATGAACGTGTTAAAAAAAAAAAGTGTACTATTCAGCTATAAAAAGAATGAGACCCAGTCAATTGCAACAAAATAATTGAACTGGAGATCATTATGTTAACTGAAATAAGCCAAGCACAGAAAGACAAGCATTTCATGTTCTCAATTATTTATGGGATTTAAACATCAAAACAACTGAATTCATGGACATAGAGAGTAGAAGGATGGTTACTAGAGGCTGAAAAGGGTGGTAGGGAGTGTAGGGGGGGAGATGGGGATGGTTAATGGGTAAAAAAAATTGTTCAAAAAATGAATAAGACTTACTATTTGATAGCACAACAGGGTGACTACAGTCAATTACTTAACTGTACCTCCTAAAATAATGTAAAGAGTATAATTGGATGGTTTACAACTCAATGAAAAAATGCTTGAGGGAATGGATGCCCCATTCTTCATTATTTGCTTATTTCATACTGCATGCCTCTACCAAAACATCTCATGTACCCCATAAACATATATACCTACTACATACCCACAAAAAATAAAAATTAAAAAAAACTTTTATACATCAAAAAATTCTACCAAAGAAATACCTTAATCAGATTAAAAACTGATTTAAATCAATGTAAAAATTATTTTGTCAATATTTTAATGTGTGCTTCAATGTAAAAATTGTAATATGAGATATAATGTTCTCTTTGACAATTAGCGGTCTTTTTATACATTAAAATTTTCTATTAACTTATTTTAGTTTGAAAATAAAAAACCCATTCTACCTTGAATCCATTGCAGCGTCTTGTTTTCTTTTTCTCTGAAGATTCTGACTCTGATGTCTTATTCAAATGTTGATGTTGGTCCATGATTAGACTACAGATACCACGTGAATGTTTTTTAATTGTTGTTGATGCTTGGTTTGAAATGATCACCTGTTAAAAAAGAAAATGTATAATTTATTTTACTTTAATCATATACAATTAAAAAATAAGAAAAGCCATGAGCTCAATATCAATCAATCAATCATTCTCTAATATTCATTCAGGGTCTGCTATTTTCTGACCACAGGGCTAGGTCAATACTGGACCAAGGAAAGACAGACACAAACTCCACCGAAGGAGATTATAACTACTTAGAAAAATAATTTTTATAGACAAATTTGAAACAAGTAAATACGATAATATAAAACCACACACTAGATTGTATGAACAAAAATTTAAAATTATAGAAAATTAAAATTGTTATATCTTCTATATATCCAGATTATAAGATTTATAAAAGCAAATTTATGTTTACATTATCCTTATAAGTTTATAAAGTGCCAAATGACTTGCACATAGCGGATACTCAAAATGGGTAGAAAATAATGTAAATAATAATAGTTAGGATAGCCTCAGACAGTTTTATAGAGGATACCTTTGGAACCAGGCTCAAAAAGCAGATACAGTTTAAATTTGTTTAAAAGAACAAAATGAATTCGAAGTATCTCTCAGAGAGAGTCTGGACATGCTTGACCTTACCATCATCATGATCATACTGTTTATTGGGTTTATTCATTTATTTTTCAAGAGAAAATACATGCATGTAGTTGAAAATGCAAAAAAGAAAAAAGATTCTTTTCATAACCTTTGTCCCCTTTTCCAGAAATCTGATATGCATTTTTAATTAAATACAAAATATTTTTCCTTTTTATAGAAATATGAGCATACCATTACCACTGTACTCTACCTTTTTACCTTCTGTATATGCTTTATATTAATAAAAGTCCTTCTCATTTTCCTTATGGTAGCAGGGTATTCTGTTGTCCATAATATATATAACTAGTTCCATACTGATAACTGTTTAACTTATATCTAATTATTTGATATTAGACAATGTTCTTAATATGTTATATGTCATGTTATTTATCTGTGGTCATATCTCTATGATAAATTCCTACAAGTGGAGTTTTGAAGTCAAAGCACAAGAGAAATCATAGGTTTGGAAGTTATTAAACTCCTATTTTAAAGACTAGTAAAATGAGTCAACTTTCATTGACTCTTTTATATAGAAGAGTGGATTACCCATGGAGGTTTAGAGATGTATTCTTGTTCATACATATGTGCATAACACATATTTATATATCTAAAGTATCTATATAAACAGATACATAACATAGATATAGGTATGTTATGTATGTAGCATGCATACATAGATATATGTTATGTAGATACGGCAGAGCTATGTAGATATATGCTATGAAACTGCTTAAATATACCTTAGATATGTAAATATCTAAAGTATCTACATAAGTATCTGATTTATAATAGAATACTGATTATACAATATGTATGATGTAGGTCATATGTACAGTTGATTCTCACTTTTTGCAATTATGTTCCATAAAGTTGCTGGGAACATTGAATTTGCAAATATTGGACCATTGTTCCTAAAGGAGATAAATGGTTAGGTGGCTGTGTGCCTTAGGTCACAACATTTTCATCAATGGATCAATACATAACTTAATACATAGTGTTTTAAGCATGTTTCTGTTTAAAGTACTTTGGTATATACTGTTGATTCATTAACACTAAATAGTGGTCAATAGCCCTGTAGTTCATGCCAGAAGTAAACTTACATAGCATATATATATATATATATATATATATGTATTTTCTGTCAGGCACTCTTGGAGGCAGGAACATGGGACAACACTTCACTTTGTTCCACCTCAGCTGGAAACATAGCAACTCAAATTTTTCACCACTCTGTCCGTGCATGCCAATGACCATAAAAGCCCAGCAGTATTAATTTTGGTGTCATAAATAAATTTTAATGTTTAGATAAATTTTCTAATATAGAATCTGTGAATAATAAATATCTACTTGATGTTTTATGCATTAATTTACTCAATAAGGATTTACAGATTCTCTATATTATAAATGTACAAAAACCATGAATATATGTCATGCATATTTAGTGGATAATGCATGAATATGGTAATAATAAATATCTGAAGATACTATCACTTAAGTATATGTGAGTGTATATAAATATACTCATGAATACTGAAATTCATACATATGTATCTCTAAGAGAAGTTTAATTGTGTTTTGTAGGTGAGGTGAGGAAAAAAATCAATAGTTTGGTAGACTCAAGGTAATAAGCAGCCCCTTAATAAATTCACACCACATTTTCCACAACTATCTCTTTCTGTTTCTTTCTTCATAATTTACAAGTTAGAAAATATTTATTTATTTTATACTTTACATTTTGGGTTACATGTGTAGAACATGCAGGTTTGTTATACAGGTATAAAAGTGCCATGGTGGTTGACTGCTTCCATAACCCATCATCTACATTAGGTGTTTCTCCTAATAACGTACCTCCCCTCATCCCCCATCCTCTGTCAGGCACCAGTGTGTGATATTCCCCTCCCTGTGTCCATGTATTCTCATTGTTCAACATCCACTTATGAGTGAGAAGATGCAGTGTTTGGTTTTCTGTTCTTGTATTAGTTTGCTGAGAATGATGGTTAACAGCTTCATCCATGTCCCTGCAAAGCACATGAACTCATCGTTTTTTATGGCTGCATAGTATTCCATGGTGTATACGTGCCACATTTTCTTTATTTAGTCTATCACCTATGGGCATTTGGGTTGGTTCCACTCTTTGTTATTGTGAACAGTGCTGCAATAAACACATGCGTGCATGTGTCTTTATAGCAAAATGATTTATAATCCTTTGGGTATATACCCAGTAATGGGGTTTCTGGGTCAAATGGTAGTTCTAGATCCTTGAGGAATTGCCACAGTGTCTTCCACAATGGTTGAGCTATAATTTACACTCCCACCAACAATGTAAAAGCTTTCCTATTTCTCCACCTCCTCTCCAGCATCTGTTGTCTCCAGATTTTTTAATGATTGTCATTCCAACTGACATGAGATGGTATCTCAATATGGTTTTGATTTGCATTTCTCTAATGACCAGTGATGATGAGTATTTTTTACTATGTTTGTTGGCTGCATAAATGTCTTCTTTTGAAAAGTATCTGTTCATATCCTTCATCCACTTTTTGATGGGGTTGTTTTTTTCCTGTAAATTTGTCTAAGTTCTTTGTAGATTCTGGATACTAGCCCATTGCCAGATGGATAGATCACAAAATTTTTCTTCCATTCTTTAGATTGCCTGTTCACTTTGATAATTGTTTCTATTGCCGAAGCTCTTAAGTTTAATTAGATCCTATTTGTCTATTTTGGCTTTTGTTGCCATTGTTTTTGGTGTTTTAGTCATAAAGTCTTTGCCCATGCTGATGTCCTGAATGACATTTCCTATTCAAGTGTAATGGTAAATGGATCAATGCAATAAGAAGAGCTAACTATCCTAAATATATATGCACCCAATGCAGAAGGACCCAGATACATAAAGCAAGTTCTTAACAACCTACAAAGAGACTAAAACTCCCACAAAATAATAGTGGGAGACTTTAACACCCCACTGTCAATATTAGACAGATCAAGGAGACAGAAAATTAACAGGGAAATCCAGAACTTGAACTCAGATCTAAACCAAGTGAACCTAATAGACAGCTACAGAACTCTCCACCCCAAATATACAGAATATACATTCTTCTTAGAACCACATCACACCTATTCTAAAATTGACCACATAATTGGAAGTGAATCACTCCTCAGCAAATGCAAAATAATGGAAATCAGAACAAACGGTCTCTCAGACCACAGTGCAATCAAATTAGAACTCAGGATTAAGAAACTCAATCAAAACCACACAATAACATGGAAACTGAACAACCTATTTCTTAATGACTACTGGGTAAATAACAGAATTAAGGAAGGAATAAAGATATTCTTTGAAACTAATGAGAACAAAGACACACATACCAGAATCTCCCAGACCCATTTAAAGCAGTGTCTAGAGGGAAATTTACAAGTCTAAATGACCACATGAAAAGCGAGGAAAGATTAAAAAAAAAAATTGACACCCTAATGTCATGATTAAAAGAACTAGAGGAGCAAGATCAAACAAATTCAAATGCTAGCAGAAGACAAGAAATAACTAAGATCAGAGCAGAACTGAAGGAGATAGAGATACAAAAAAAAAAAAAAAAAAAAACCTTCAAAAAAATTAATGAATCCAGGAGCTGGTTTTTTGAAAGATCAACAAAATAATAGACCTGCTAGCCAGACTAATAAAAAAACAAAAAAGAGAAGAATCAAATAGATGCAATAAAAAGTGATAAAGGGGATATCACCACTAATTCTATAGAAATACAAACTACCATCAGAGATTACTGCAAACGCCTCTATGCACAGTAAATCTGGAAGAAATAGATAAACTCCTGGACACTTACACTGTCCCAGGACTAAACCAGGAAGAAGTTGAATCCCTGAATAGACTAATAACAAGGTTTGAAGTTGAGTTGGCAATTAATAGCCTACCAAACAAAAAAAACTAGGACCAGATGGGTTCATAGCCAAATTCTACCAGACATACAAACAGGAGCTGGTACTGTTCCTTCTGAAACAATTCCAAATAATACAAAAAGAGGGAATCCTCCATAACTCATTTTATGAGACCAACATAATCCTGATACCAAAACCTGTCAGTGACACAAATAAAGAAGAAAATTTCAGGCCAATATCCCTGATGAACATTGATGTGAAAATCTTCAATAAAATACTGGCAAACTAAATCCCACAGCACATCAAAATCTTATTCATCATGATCAAGTCGGCTTCATCCCTGAGATGCAAAGATGGTTCAACATACACAAATCTATAAACATAATCCATCACATAAACAGAACCAAAGACAAAAACCACATGATTATCTCAATAGATGGAGAGAAGGCCTTTGACCAAATTCAAGAGCCCTTCATCTAAAAACTCTCAATAAACTAGGTATCGATAAAACATATCTCAACACAATAAAA